CCTCCTTGGCCTGGCATGCCAGATCTGATTATGATGCCCCCATCTACCTGCAGGCCCCCTGTAAGAACTGGGGTGTCACTCTGAGGACTCCCCAGAGCTGTGGAAGAGCTCTGGGGGAGTGAGGTAGGAGCCAGTCCTGGGACAGAGACAGAGATGCTTCTGGTTTGTGGCTGGAGGTCCTGCGTTCTGGGGTAGGACAGTACCACCCTGCAGATTTCAGTATCTTTATTAAGAAAAAGGCATATTACAACAACTTCTAAAGTACAGCTCCATTCTCTAGTCTCTGGGTCTTAACACCTTCTGAAAAGCACTTGGTTAAAAAGCAAAGTCAACATGAATATCATCCTGGCAAAACACGGTGACATGTAGCAAAATGAACATTCAAATGAAGCAGAGCAGGGTCAAACCTTTGGCATCTGTCCCTCTGTGGCGGTGCCCCCCAGCACGAGGCACAGGCGTTTATTGTTCTCACTGAGTTTGCAAACTCAGCCAAGGACAATATTTCTGCTCCGACGAAACCACAGCAGCTCTGGGACCAGGGGAGCTGAGACCAGAAGTGCTGCCCTCCTCACCACTCTGCCAGAGCCCTGCCAGGGCTCCAGCACAACTCTGGCCAGGCAGAGGTGATGTCCCCACCCCACTGGGGTGGCAGTGACCTTGAAACACAGGCAGGGCTCGTCCTTGGGGGCCGAGGGGTGCAGCTCAGAGCTGTACCCACAGCCTCTGGGCAGAGAGGGTCTGCTGCTTCCGACATGCAAAGGTCTGGGGCATTCCCCGGGCCCGATAGTCTAATTCCTGTGATAATTGCAACAACAGGAAAGGGGAGCTTTCTTGTAAGCTGCGAGATGACTGGAATCTATGGGGAAGAGCCAGGAGGCAGAACCGCACCCTGGCCAGGGAGGGCCAGGCACCGTGTGGGTGTGGGCTGGGTGCACCTCTCACACACCGGCAGCTTCGCCCCCTGTTCCTGCCCGAACGTGCGAGGAAGGGGAGGGTGAGGTGAAGGACTGGATGTGGTGGCAGTATCGAGTGTCACCCTCCGTGTCCTGCCCAGAGGCACCATCCCTTCATGGGGCTGGGACAGCAGCGTCCCTGCAGGGCCAGGGGGCAAGGAGGACACAGAGGCAGAAATGGGGCCCTGGGCAGCAAAGGGCAGCTCTGACGGCGAGGGGACACGGTGCTTTGATCCTTGTGCTTTACTGGCCGTGGTGTCTGGTGGCTCCTCCACAGCTGCTGTGCTCATCGGTCCCGAGCTCCTGCTGCTCGCCCAGCCGGCACTCGGCACTGCTGATCTTACCCACAGATCTCAGATACCTGCATGAGCCAACCCAGAGGCGTAAGGGAGTTCTCTCCCGTCCTGCTGGCAGCCAGGCGCCAACAGTGTAAGACGGTGACAAGAACAGGCGTGCAGCGAGGCGGCGGCAGCGTCACTGCAGCCAGACTGGCTCGTCAGGGAGCTGGGACATGAGGGCTGGTGTTCCAGCAAAGGCAGGATGGTGTGGCTTCACTGGGGCAGCAGGAGCCACTTCACAAGGCTGTGCACAAGGACTCTGAAATGTTCACCTAACCCCCAAAAATGAAAGTCCCTTGTTGTGCTGCTGATTTACCTTCCTATGGGGAGAACTTGGGAAAAGCAGAGCAATCCCTTCACACTGCTGGCTCCAGCCACTTCAGGCAGGATGTTTCTTCCTGTGTCACCGCTACCGCTCCTGGGCACTCAGGAAAGAGCACCCATCAGCTGGGCCGTGGGCCTGGCTTTGCCTGCCATCAGGCGACCCACAGAAGTTCCCTCGGGAAGCCAGCAGGGCCTGGCCCCAGTTCAGACTGTCTCAGCACAGAGCTGTGCAGCAGTGGGAAGGTTGGGAGCCTAGAGCGGATGGGAAGAACACGGCTGGGAGTGCTTAGATTAGCCCTAGCAAACACATTCAGAAAATATGGCTTTTTAGTTAACAGGGTCAAGAAGAAGAACTTCCTGAATAATCTGCCCAGGGTTAAATAAGTCCAGGGGAGCGTGCACCCCGTTGCCAGGACTGGCTCTGCCACAGCGAGTGCATCTTCCCACACCCACTGCTCACCTCACACCTGCTGCAAGGTGCATCTGAGACATCACTTTCTCAGATAGCATTAGGAAAAATAATGATAATAATAATAATATAACAATAATGACAATAAGGAAGAGAGATATTAGCAAACCAAACACATCAAATCCATACACCTCTGCAGAGCTACAGAGCGAAAGGGGGTGCAGAGGAGAGGAGCCCGGCTGTTAGTCTGTAGACAGCTCTCAGCACGTGGTGGTTTACACACACAAGACGTTGTTTAACAACCGAGCGTTATTGCTATGCTTCCATGTCCAGTCTAATCATTAACCTTTACAAGTCACCATCAAACACTGCCCGTTCCATCGGTGGCGGCGGCGGCGCTCCTCAGTCTGTGCTTTCAGGTGTGCGGCGCAGGTGGAAGCTGCGTGCGCCCTTTGGACTCCCGAGGAGTGCAGAGCACAGATTAAATGCACCTACAGGTCCCTGTTACTCCTTACAGGCTAAGGGCAAGCTTGCAGTGCGAGGGGGGAGTCTATGAGAGCCCCCGCTCCAGGAGGTGAGGGCAGGCCCTGCCTGGGCCCCAGTGGCTCTCAGGCTCCCGGTGGCTCCAGCAGCCTACTCAGTAAAAAATAGGAATACTGTCTTTTTGATTTTTTTTATCATTTTGATCTCTTTGATCATTTTATATAAATACAAAGATTAAAATAATTTATCTCAACATTATTTCTATTACAATCATACAGTGTTTTCCCTTCAAAACAAGTGCATGTATGTGTGTGTATATATATATATATATATAAGTGTATATATAGTATCTCTAGAGCTTCCCTCCCCCCTAAGAAAAGCAGCAGTGACTGAAGCAGGTACAGCACGCAAGAGCTGATCCTTCCTGCTCCAAGGCAAATGTGCCCAAGGAAAAGTGCAGGGCTCGCCCTGACAACTAATTTCCAAGCACATTACATTGGCATGAAGGGGGAACTGGGGTGCTCGCTCTCCATCCCTTTGGAACCCCCCTCGCTGCAGGGGCTCTGCTGCCCACCCGGGCTCCAGACCTGCCCAGCACCGGGAGCACCGGGGAGGGACCTGCATGGGGCACTGGAATGAGATCAACTCCTTGAGCAAGCTGCTAATTACTGGTGCAGAGGAAAGGGCCCTGCAGCGCAGACAGGGTTGCTTCATTTACATACTAGGCACTACGGATGATGATTGCTAGGAAGGTATTTACACAGGAGAAGGGTCATACTTCTCCCTCCACTTTCAATGCTCAGTCATAAACACCATGATCTCATGAAGAAGTTTGTAATAAAGATGCAACATACTGTGTCTATCAGGATTGTCTAGGAAGGATGGGAAGCAGCCCTCCAAAGCCTGACTAGTCACATAACAGCCAAAGAAAAAGTACAAAAGCCGCTAATTTCTGCCCTGCTAGTGCAGCTCAAATGCTTTGGGGTTTGTTTTTACCAAAGAGCTGGTTGGTGACTGCTGCTGTCAATCTCATAAAGCATTTTAATAGAGTATATAAATATTGAACTACAAAAATAGACAGCTCTGACTGCGCGGGCACACTGAGGGTGAGAGCGGGCAGGCCAAACCTCGCTAGTCTATGAGGGTGATGTCTTTCAGGAGGTTTCAAACTGAACTGGAAGGAAACAGGGTCTGATCTCACTCTGCAGCTCCCTCCTGCCCACACCAGCCGTGGAGGCAGTGGGTCCTGCAGGAGGCTGCTGCCCACCAGCCTGGCAGGGCTGCAGGCAGGGGCCAGGTCCCGGCGGGGCCAGCCAGGCTGGCAGCCCACATGCCAGGGCAAAACCTGCTCCTTGAGCTGCCCTGAGTGGCACGGGTCCGGCAGCAGCGGGGCAGAGCGACCTTTGCCCTGCCTGGCCGCCAAAGCCCTCTCCTCCCTGCACTATTTCACAACACCCAGGGAGTGATTGTAAAACTGAGTTTGGCTGGAAATGGGGCGAGGCTGCCCCAGCGGGGCCAAGGCAGCTGTACCGCCGCTGTTCTAAGAAGGATGGGAGGCAATGGGGGAGGACCAGGGGCTGCTCAGCCCTCAGCAGCAAGCCCAGACCTGGCTGGGGATGTGAGTGAGAACCAAAATGCTGGTGCTGAGGAGAGCCCTGTGCAGGGGGCACAGGGTGCAGCCTTGCTCCAGCAGCACATGGAGCCCGGCTGCAGCCACTGAGTGTCCAGCAGGACTGCCAGTCTTGGCACTCTCCAGCTGCCTTGTCCGAGTCCTGTGTGTGAGCGTGATGAGGGGAAATCTGTGCTGGAGACAGCCAAACCGCTGCACAGGGGAGCATGGGACAGGCCTGGCCAGCACAGCAGCACTGTCCTTGCGGAAGGGGATCCCTCCGTCCCCCACAGGATCGACCTCATTCAGCTGTCTGCGTTCTGGAGAACCTTCCTGGTGATGTCCTGGGCCCTGTGCAGTGCCCGGTGCCGGCGATGGCCAGGGCTGGAGCCGGGCTGGGCTCATCCCATGGTGCGGAGCCAGGTGCTGTACAGCCTGCTGCTGCTGCACGCCCACCCCTGCACCCGGGCCAGGGAAAGCAACACTGCCCACTCTGAGGCAGCAGCAGCAGCAGGAAAATCTCATTTCAAAAATGCTTCCTCTTCTTTCTTTCTTTCTTTCCTCTTTCTTTCTTTCTTTTCTTTCTTTCTTTCTTTTCTTTCTTTCTTTCTTTCTTTCTTTCTTTCTTTCTTTCTTTCTTTCTTTCTTTCTTTCTTTCTTTCTTTCTTTCTTTCTTTCTTTCTTTCTTTCTTTCTTTCTTTCTTTCTTTCTTTCTTTCTTTCTCTCTTTCTCTCTTTCTCTTTCTCTCTTTCTCTCTTTCTCTCTTTCTCTCTCTTTCTTTCTCTTTCTTTCTCTGTTTTTCCTCTCAAGCTCCGCGCTCGGACGTGTCCCCTTCACAGCCCGGGTGCTGGATGCTCCCTTGTCCCGCAGCGTCGCCGGCAGCATCCCCGGCTGAGCCCTTTCGGGCAGAGGGGACCGTCCCTGGCTGCGTGCAGGGCTCCGCGCTCGGCTCCGCTCTCGGGGCCGGGGAAGGAGCCGCGGCCGGCCCGCCCCGGTGCCGCCGGGCTCAGCCCTTCCCGGTCCCCTCGCCGCCTACTGCGGGGCTCGGGGGGCTCCGTGGGCCCCGGACCCGTGCCGCCTGCTGGGCTCGCCCTTGGCCGGCTCCTGCGGGGGCTGCCGGGGGTGCCGCTGGCCCCGGGCGGCGGCGGGCGGGGCGCGGGGCTGGCCCGGGGGCTGCGTGTAGAGGAACAGCGCCGGGTCGGGCATGGCATCGTGCTCCTCGGGCGTGGGGTCCCTGCGCCGGGCGCCGTCCGCGGGCGGCCTTCGGGCCGGGGCCCTGTGGGCGCGGCGCCGGGGCCGCGCCTCGGCCGGGGCCTGCTCGGGGGCGGCCGCCCGCCCGCCCGCGGGCCCGGCAGCCGCTGGGCCGTGGCGTGCAGCTGCAGGGACAGGTAGGCGGCCGCCTCCGTCTGCTTCTGCAGCTCCGTGTCGAGGATGGTGACGCGGTGGCTCCGGCGCTTCAGCTCCTCCAGGAACCGGCGCTCCTTGCTGCGGAGGCTGGAGCGCAGCGCAGCCACCAGCGTCTCCTTGTGCTGCAGCTCCTTGCGCAGCTCCAGGTTGTCCTTCTCCTTCTCCTGCAGCTGGGCCTCCATCGCCCGGCACTTCTCCTCCAGCTCGCGGTCCAGGACGTCTGTAGGCCAAGGCACAGAGGGGTCAGGAGCGGGAGCGGGGCTCAGCCCTGCTGCCCCCAGCATGGATGTGGCTGCTGCCCACTCCATGGTGCCAGCACGTCCCAGCAGTGCCATTGAGGCTGCTTGGGTGCTGCTGGAAGCTGTGAGAGAACTCCCTGTGAGCTGCCCGAGCACGGGCTCACTGCCAGCGCAGGCACAGGAGCCTCAACACTGGCCGCTGGCACGGTGCCATGTGTAACACCCAAATGCGGGGTGGCAGCAAAAGGCAGTGTCGGTGGAGGATGTTGTTGCCATGGAACCTGCTGCCTCTACCTTGCTGCAGTTTAAAATTTCCCTAGGTGAGTAGTTTTTCACCCTAAAAGTGACTTTGAATGTGTGCAGAGGGTGTGGGGGAGCACACGGGCTGGAAGAGAAAAGGAATTGGTGCAGGGAAACCATCAGCCCAACTTTGGAGGGACTTTTGGCCTCAAGCCCTGGCACTCCAAAGCCTAGTTAGTCAGGATGGAGATGCTAATCCGATTACAGAGGAATTGGGCTGCGCTCAGCAGGGAAGGAACCTCCATCCTGGGACAAGCCAGCGAGTTCTAGGGAATGCTGTCCTGGGGCAGGATGGCCAGGCAGCCTGGGGAATTCACAGCTTGGGGTTCAAGGGCCAAGCCCAGTGGGCAGCAGGAGGGCTGAGGAGTCCTGACCCCAGCCCTGGCTGCCTGCTCCAGCACCCAGCCCTTGGCAGGGTGCAGGCTGGCACCTGCCTGCGCTCCCTGGCCTGCCCCGGCCTGCTCCCATCCTCTGCAATAATCTGCTTTTTATGATGTGATTGGCAGCTGCTTACAGCCTCAGCTCCTCAGTGTTTCTGCAGCTTTATAATGAGGTTTAGGGAGGCGGTTGCAGGCAGTAATTATTGCATGAACGGCATTAGGAGAGCAATCATTTGATGGCATTGTAAATGAGTTGCTGTCCCATAAATGTGGCAAAGTGATTGTGTAGCTCTAAAAGGCTGAAGGATGGGCAGGCACGATGGGTGACACTCGCTGCGCTGTGGCTGGTGACACCCCGATGGCACCAGGTGGGTTGGGCACCAGGGCCTCAGCCAGAAATGCCCACGGGTGCAGAGAAGAGACCCCTGGCTCCATGGAAGGGGCTGGGAGCTGGGAATTCCCATGGAGCCAGCCATGGCACTGCGTCAGGGTGCCAAGGGCAAGGACCCCACTGGCCCCAGTGAGAGCAGCTCACACCCACCCTGGGACCAGCTGCCCTGGCACTGAGGACAGAGCACAGGCTGGGGCTCGGTGCCAGGGACCGTGCCCAGGCAGCGCCAGGGAGGAGTTTCAGTTTCATCTGTGGGACAGAGGAAAGAGAGGAGCCAGGCTGCTCACAGAGCAGCCTCTGCCGGCCACGGGGCTCCCGGGCATCACCAGCAGTTACTGCTGCCAGCAGCTGTGCACGCTGCCTGCCCCGTCCTGCCCTCAGCCAGGTCCCTGTCCCCTCCCTGCAGCCCTGATGGGCCCCTCTGGCCACAGGCTCATCTGCACCCTCACTCTTCCCCCTTACCTTGTGCCCAAAGCTGTGCTCTTACCTTGTTGGCGGGCCTCCAGCTCTTTCATCTCCAGGTCATGGGTGAGCTCTGGAAGAGAAATCCAGCAGGACTGAGGAGGAGCATCCCACCCATTCTGTGCTCCCCAGGTCTTCCTCTGCTCCCTTTGGGGCACTGGACACAACTGTGGCTGCAGTGCTATCTCTGCCCAGCCCTCCAGGGAGTGTGGCTGTCTTGGAGCACTAGCCACAGGCTGAGCAAAAATAGGCAATTCTGGCAATTTCTATGTTATTAAGCAGCCTCATGGCCAAGACATTGTCCGCAGGATGCTCTGCTCCTCTGACAATGCCTTTCATTTTTCTAGAAGAGTTGCAGAACCATTTTCAGTGCTGTAAACCAAGAAAAGAGCAGAGCATTGGATTGAAAATAGACCAAAGCATAAGCTTCCACCCAAAGCATTGCAAAATTTACTGCTCCAGGCTGATCGCTGCCTCTGCAGGTGACGCAAGCGGGCACGGCCCCTTCCCAGCACGATGTGCCTGCAGGATGCTGCCCTGCTCCAGGGCAATGTGGAACTTCCAAATCCCTTCCAACTCCCAGGAGCTGCAGCACCTACCTGCCTGCTCAGCCCCAGCAAGCTGCCTCCTCTCTGCTGCCCTTTGCCTGCTTGCTGTCTAGCCCCAGGCTACAGCACCAGGTCACAAAGGTCAGCTCAGGGACCTTCTGGAGTTCACTTCACCCTGCACTCTTGCAGACAGTCCCTTTTGAATTAATTATCACAGCCCACACAACCACTAACAGCCCTGAGCAGAGGAAGAGAGCAGTAGCAGCAGCATTCAGCTGTTTGGGGGCTATTTTTCCCCTGAAAATGAGTTCAAACGGTTAATCTTTGCCCTACATTTTTCTTTTAATCTGCTTTTGTGTTGACTCTAATCCCATCACTGCCATCCTTCTGAAACCCAATGCTTGTCTCAGGCTGCTCTGCCTGTCTGTCTTGGAAAACAAATCTGTAGTGAGAAGGCAGAAGTACCTGAGACCATAATGCAGTTTCTGGAAAGTGTTTGTTCAGCACTCTCGACTGCCCTGGTGGGAATCAATGGCCATTGTGCTATTTTTCTGAAGCTAAAATAATACATCTGGAGTCTCAGATATATTTCAAATTAAAACCAAAGCAGTTGCCTATTTCCAAAGAAATCATCCTGCTGAGCAAGTATAGGGATGATGCACAGGTTGGGGTCCAAGTTTCTGGGCTGGAGCCAGGGTGCTGGTGCTGATCTGCTTCAGTACCATCCCCATGACCCCTGAGGGGCAGCTGAGAACCACCTCTGTGGGAGAGTGAGCCTTTCCCACAGGGATACCTCAGAGAGACCAAGGGAATAGTGAAAAAGCCAGAAACAACAGTGCCAGGGCAGCAAGCAAGGCTCCACAGGGCCACATTGAGGAAAAACTGACTTAAAGACTCTACTCTCCTCCTGCAAACAGCCCCTCAGATAATGACACTCAAATGTCAGGGAAGTCTCCTTAAAACTGACCAGAGGTTGCCTGGCAGTCCTGGCAGAACCACACACCTCACCCAGGAGGACAGGACCCCTCTGGTCAGATATGACTGTCCTTGGGTCACGCTGGGAAGGGGAGATCACCCGTGCAGTGGGCTCAGGCCATGGGGACAGATCTCCCAGGTTTGATTTAGGCAGGAGAACCCCGCTGTCTTGCCTGCCTAAAGAGGCCATAGATGAAACCATTAAAACAATGAAACAGAACAGCAAAAGCTCAGAAAGGATGGAGAAAAATAGCCAATTTTATCAGTGCAGACATTTCTTTGTTTCCCAGGAACTTGGGAGAATGGGAGGCTGGAAGACAAGGAGTAATTAGCTCTGGCTGAATTATTGATGAGAGCAGCAGCACAAGTTGGACTGAGCTCCAGTGGTGGCAGAAGGCTGGGCAGCCATCACTCCTGCAGGGGTGTCTGGAGGGGAGTGTGGCAGTGCTGCAGCAGGGCTGTGGGGACAGCTGTGCACCCCGCAGCACGGCCGGGCAGGGCCCCAGCCTGCCCTGCAGCCTCTCCGTGTGCTGCGAGCGCCCGAGCGAGCACCCCGGGCTGCCAGCAGCAGCTTCCTGCCCAAGGTGCTCCTTGAGCACCCAGCTCCCACTCAGCGTGCCGCCCCAGCGCTCACCTGAGCAGTGCTTCTGCAAGCGGAGGATCTCCAGGTGCAGGTCGTGGAGCAGCTCCATCTGCTCCTTCTTCAGGAAAGCGATGTGCCGCTGCACGCTCTGGATCTGGTGCTCCAGGGACACGGTCTCCATCGCAACCAAATTCCCAGTCCAGGCCTGCAGGGAGAGGAGGTGGCTGGTGATCAAACAGCAGTGTGCTGGGCTGCAAGCCCCAGCCCTTGTGAGGGGCAGAGCTCCTCACAGAGGTGCAGGGTGGTGCCTCCCCTCCTCGACCCTCTCCACGGGGACTGTGACTGTGGGCAAAGCAGCCCTGCCCAGCTGATGCCCAGGGAATGGCCTCAGCCCTCTCACCTTCCAGTGCCTCTGGGGCCGGCTCCTGGCCTGCCTGCTCAGACTGCACAGGCAGAAAATCCTGCTGCAAGAACCCTGGCATCATAGCATGCCTGTCTGTTCTGAATTTGGCCCTAGGAAATACGTTATCACTGAGTAGGATGCATCTGGGACAGGATTGCTCTTCGTTGTCCCCAGGTAGGAGTTGCACAAGAGACGATTTTGGCTCTCACTTGACAAGCCCCACGTTACACAGCAGCAACTGCAGCAAGCGACCCAGCACATGAAAAATACAATATGCTCTGTCTAACCCGATCAGCACTGCGTGGCTGGGAGAGTCATGTTGCCTTCCAGAAGAAGGAACATCTTCCCTGCTAATTTGCCTGGCAGACGAGAGCTGCTGGCAGGCTGTGCCAGGCAGCCGAGCTGGGCTGGGGGTCTGTCCCCACGTCATCGATGGCCGTGGCAAAGCAGCTGCAAAAGCCGCCCACCTGTGCTGCTGCACAGAGAGGTAAAAATAGCCTCTGAAAGAACCCTTTATGCCAGCAAATACCATTTTGTGGTGTGTGGAATCTGCCCTTGCTCCCGACACACAGCACAGAAGGAGGGAAGCTGCAGCAAATCAAGGTAACCTGGCAGAGTGGCTGGACTCAATGACCTGAGAGGTTTTTCCAACCTACATGATTGTATGGGGAGATGCTGTGCCACAAGCCTGAGGGATGGAGTGCATCATTCTGTCCCTGGGCAGCTGCTTCCCACATCTGACTCCAGTTTTCCCTCTACAGAAACTGCAGAACCACTGTGGCTCACTGTTCCAGCACCCTTGGCATGCTCACATAGGGCATTTTGCAATTCCTGCAGCCTGAATGCATTTAAGATCAATCCCTCAGTAAGTGGTCTTGGCAGTGCCCCAAGGTCAAAGCTTTGTTCCAGCCAAAGGCTGTGTAGATTTGTGACAGCTCTACAGTCAGGTCCCCACGTTCCTGTATTTGATGAGGTGGGGGTGCAGGCTGGTTGGGTACAGCTGAGCACCCAGCCTGCTGGTAAAGAAATGGTCCGAAGTGCATTGTCCTGTAGTTGTCCTTATGGAAAGTGTCAAACCCAGCCCCGCCAGGCAGGGCAATCCTCTTTGGAGGACCATGTGTCCCGATGCCAGTGCAAGAGTTATGAGAGTTATTTGGCATCTGCCAGAGACCAGGAATGCAAACTACACCATGGGTACATCCTCCTGCCAGCCCTGGCCAGGGTGGGCTGAGCTTCTTGATGGGAGTTGTGTTCCTCATCTCAGGAAACATCAGAAAGTAGGTTGGTCAAAGCCCAGGGGACACATACTGCTATTTTCAAGCACTTTGTTCTGTCTAGTAGAAATGTCTTTAGTAGAAATGGCTGCAATTTTTCCATTGAACTTTCCCTTCTCCCCTTAAGTAGGAAATTGCTTTTTCTTTTTTTTTTTTTTAAGCAATGAAAATATTTTCTTTTGAAAATAGTTGATAGATTTCAAGCGGCAAAAAAGGTCAAAGAAAAAAAAATCTGGAATTGAGATCTGTTTGTCTCTAATTTGGAAGCTAAGAGCCTTCATAATTTACCTGTGCATGTGGGAAGAGAAGTTTGTCTCCAGAATTGCAATGGGAAGTCCTTAGTGGGTTTGAATCAGCTTTGCCTGTCCAACATGACTTTAATGTTTTCTCTTGAGGAGCAGCTCTCAGCTTGTGGCAGGAACATCTGAGGCCCCACAGGGGGGAGCGAGCACCTTGTTTTGTTTAGCCATGAACCTCCCACCAGTACTAAGGGCATGGAGCAAGGCAGGGGTGGGACACAGAGGCAAGCAGGGCAGGAGCTGCCTTCATTGGAAATGAGGACAGTGCTGGAAACAGTCGTGCTGTTGCTAAGAGCGGTGAGGGGAAGAGCTCTCCAGGGATTCCAGGGACCTGAGGCTGCTTCTGTTCACCGTTTGCAGCCCCGTGGGAGGGCCATGTTGTCCCCTCTGCAGGTCACACAGTTCTGCCTCACAGGTGATGATGCAACAGCCACAGCTGTTAAGAAAGATGCAATCTCATCCTGAGGCTTCAGTAACATCAGTGTTGGAATGTCCCTAACTTTACCAGAGGGCAGTAGATGAGCATTTGCATCACCGAGGCAGTGCCCACCTCTTACCCCAAGGGGGTTCAGAACCAAACTCTCAGCAGCTGGCATCCTCCCTCCAATGCTTCTGAAGGCAAGTGGGATTGCAGGAGCATCCTGAGCCTTTAGTTTGATGTGTGCCTTCTGTCATTCACACAGTTTGAGCCTGGGCGGTGTTGGGAGTTAATCAGGATTAGCCGCTGCTGCTGGCTGATTGAACACTTACAGGGTCACCGCAGCTCCCAGCTGGCAACACCAAAACTCCCTGTGCCGAGGGCTTCAGAACACCCACAGCAGTGCAGTGGTGATGACCAAAAGCCTGTGCAGTGAACCATGGCAGGAACTTGCACCCTGTGCCACAGACACGGGAGCCAAAGCGTGATGAGTGGGGCTGTTCTTCCCACAGGCTCCTCCTGCCCCAGGAGGTGGCAGCTCCTGGGTGAGTGTGGCTCCCAAAAGGATGGTTGTACTGCAGTGAACAGGGACACGGTTGGGTGCCCCCACTCTGATCCCTCCCTCACTGCTGTAGCTGAGACTTCTCCTTGCCAGACTAGCTCTAAGATGCCAAGGCAACTGGTGGTGGAAGCTCTCACAGTGACTGTGTACTCTGTGATTTTGACGAGCTACGTATGAGGTTACAAACCTAGAAAACAATGTCATTCATAACAAAAACCAAGAGTAAGTGATAGTAGTCCTCTTTAGCTTGAAGGATGCTCTGTGCCCTTGTGCTTCTGAGAGTTGTACGGGTGCACACACAGCAGCAAAGGAGGCAGCAGTCAGGTGAGCAGTGTGGTTTGGCTCTATTCAAAGGTGACACCTACAGCCTGAGCTGGCCCCTGCTCCGTGCAGAGCTCTGGTTAAACAGTTCTCTCCAGTTTTGGGGGCTGGACATCCATGGGGCTTTACTCCACCACCGAGAGCTTTGCTGGAATGAGGTTCCCTTGCTGATCCCCCAAGATTTTGAGCACAAAACTGATGAGGCGGCACTGGGCTCAGCCCTCTCCAATTCCCCACGTGGAGTGACTGTGGGCATGGTCTCGACTGCTGAGCCTTCCTGTGCACCTGCCTCTAAACCACATTTTTTTCTGCACTTCTTGTGCTTTCACTGTGCAACCATGACCTTTGGCACAAGCATATTGGGAGTCCTGATCTTCTTACAAAGTGCTGGTGGAAAACCCCAGTGAGATTTACAATTTAATCCCAATTTATCAAATTCTTATTTCACAAACCAAAATGACTGAAGCAAGCTCTTGGAGCAGCTACAATGACCAATGTAGTTGCAAGTCTACCGTGAGCTGATTTCCTTTGCACAGACAGGTTGATTGAGAGTTTGCTTCCAGGGCAAAACTCTGCTTAAGTCTGCTGTTCAATGTAAATCAGAATCCCAAAACTTTGACCCAAGAAAAACCCTCCATCCCAGTGATGCATCTGAAAGGGGGATGCAGTATTGCATATCCACGTACCTCTGAACACACACCCTCACACCACGGTCTGGCCCCTGTCTGTGATTATTATTTGCCATAAATGGCAAATTAGCTGGGAGTCAGAGGGCATGAGGTTTGCAGGAACAGGTCGATAACTTGTCCTGCTGTGGCTGCCAGCAACCCCTTCTCCATCACATTAAAACATACGCAGGAATAAACACTATGGTGGACACTAGAAATCCATAGTGCTTGGTATTTACAGCTCAAAGAATATGAACTGCAGCAGTCCTGCTAAGCTAGTATGTCTTTAAATGTTGGGAAATCAGGCAAGCAGGAAGCTCAGAAACTTGCAGAAGGTCACAGAGGCAGTGGCGATGCCAGGAATAGAAACCAGAGGTGAAATCGTGGCCTTGGAAAAGTCAGTGGGAAACCTTCCCTGATCTCAGCAGAGGCAGAATTACACTCGGAGTGCTGTTTGCTATTCATTATGTGTCAGTATCTATTTACAGATAAAATCAATACAGATGATGATTATAAATTATTGTTTCTTGCAATTCTCTGAGCACAACCGCCTGAGGAAAAGCCCCAGTGACGCTTGTCAAGAGGCTGCGGAGGCTGAAGGCAAGTCCGTGCTTTCTCCTCCCGGCTCCGAGGGAATTCGCTATGGATCCAGCTCTGCTCCGGGAGCGGAACCGGGCCATCACCGCCGCTCCGGGCCAATCCTCCTCCCGCCTGGGGAGCCCGCGGTGCCGCCCGCACGCCGGGGCTTGGCAGCGACACTGCCCGGGGCCGGCTCCGCGCTCCGCAGCGGGCGGCAGAGCCGGGCAGAGCCGGGCAGGGTTTGGGGGGTCCGGCAGGGCTCGGGGGGTGCGACAGAGCCCGGCAGGGCTCGGGGGGCCCGGCAGGGCTGGGGGGACGCGGCAGAGCCCGGCAGAGCCCGGCAGGGCTCGGGGGCCCGCCGGGACAGACCGCCGGCGGGGCCACGTACCGGGGGAAGCAACTTCTCGAACGGACCCGGCGGCGCTGCGGGCAACTTGTGCGGGGCCGCCCCGCGCCCGGGGACCCCGCCCGCCCCCCGGCCCCGCGGCCCGCGGCCGGTGCCTTACCTGGGGGGAGCGGCGGGGCCCCAAGGGGCGCCCGCTGGGCGTCATGGGGCGGCGGGGCCGGGCCGGGCCGGGCCGGGCCGCGCCGGGGCCGCGCCGGGGCCGCGCCGGCTCCCGCGCCGCCCGCGCTGCCTGCGGCGGCCCCGCCTCGCCCGGCCCGGCCCCGCCGCCCGTAAAC